TTCATATTAAGAGTTGAAATAGAAATAAAACTACACAAGAGCATTTGGCAGTTAATTAAGCAGTTCATTAAGCCCAATGTATTTTTACAAGAAATAGATTTTAACCAAGAAAGTGTACATTAAATAAAATAATAATGTTCACATTCTCTTTATTATAGGTCTTATAAGAAAAATATGTTCTAAGGACTAACTCTGGAAAATATTTTTATATTTTTTCTATAAATTTAATGTTATGATCTCTTTCTTCTCTTTCCTTAGACATATACCTAAAACCTATGTTCCTTCTCCCAAAGTATAAAATGTCTCACCAATTCACTCAGTAATTTCCAAATACCATGTTTAGCTAAATATTTTAGGTAACACAGAACTGCTGTGATAGTTAAAACTAGATCAATTTTCATGTCTTCCACATACTTCACATGTATTATTTGTAAGCAAAATGTTACCTGTTTCAGTGACTATTTAGTACCGTATTCTCTCCACCTAGAATTATTTTCCTAAGTTTCCTAGAGAAATTTCTTCTTTAAAACTAAAGTTAAAAACTACCTTTCCTGAGAAACTTATCTGCACTTCTCCAAGCACCCACAATCTCATCTTGTAGCTTCCTTAATTGCCGCCTGTTGTGGGTGGGACCCGGTGAGAGATGATTGACTCATAGAGGTGCATATTTCCTCTGCTGTTCTCATGAGAGTGAATGGGTCTCTTGAGATATGATGGTTTAAGCAAACAGGAGTTTCTCTGCACAAGCTCTTTTTTTTTTTTTTTTTTTTTTTCTTGTCTGCTGCCATCCACATAAGAGGAGATTTGCTTCTTGCCATCTGCCATGTGAACTGTCATCCACAGATTAACCGTGTGGAACTGTAAGTACAATTAAACCTCTTCTCTTGTAAATTTCACAGTCTTGGGTATGTCTTTATCAGCAGCATGATAACAGACAAATACATGTGATATCTAGATATTTGCTGAATAAAAGTATATAAGGTATGGTTTTACTCTCCTGTCGTAGAAATACATCCCTCCACACAAATGTCAATGATGCCTTTTGGAATTTATTTACTTCCTTGTTTTCATATGAGTTGGTGAATTCATCAGCGACCACCTGGTAACAGTAATGTTCACAATTTATTTCACTGAAATTGTATTTGGAATCCTTTGTATTTGCAATATCTCTATTCTTTCACTGTCAGCCTGCCCTTTCTTGTTTCAATGCCACCCAATAATACCTGTGAGGAAAACTGATCCTCCAGTTATTCAATCTCAAGTCTTAATCTAGCCTTTCTCCTTCTGACTGTCCTTAATCACATAACACTAAACCTCATTTTTTATACTGTTACCCATAAAGTTGTAATGTATTCTTATTGTTTTTGAAGACTGGCTTAGACCCCCTCAGTTAGAATAATATTTGCTCCTGGAACAACATTCTCAGAAAGCAACTTATTTTCTCACCAAATACTTATCTGGCCAAGGATTTTTCTAGACCTATGCTATCCTTCCAGATTATAGTCATTTTTGTACTTCATTGTAAAATCATTTTCTTGAAGGTTCATACCATGCAGAAATGTTTTCACTATCACCTACTGTGGCAAAGAGTGATGGTGTTTACCAATATCCATCCTTCTCCTTTGAACACACATAACTAACCTATATTTCACAGCTTTCTGATAATTGTGTGGGGCCTTCCGAGTTCCAGTCAATAAAATATATACAGACCTAAATAGTACTAATCCCAGGGCTAGCCTCTATGACATCTCACTTGACCCTTCTCACTCTTGCCTCATCTTCCAGCCAGATGCAACAAATCCTGCAAAAAGCCAAAAACTTGAAAGGATCCAGGATACCCAAATCACTTTGAACACCACCTGCTATATACTCTTTTGGACTGTGAGGTAAATGAAAAAAAGAAAAAGAGCTTTCCTTGTTGTAATGAATGGGATTTGGGTATTTTAAGAATAGCAGTTGTTATCTGCTTTTATTAATACATCATCCAAATATCAGGTGTAGTCTTACATTTCAAGGAAAATGTCACAAATGGCTCATTTTTTCTCTGTATTTGTACTATTTTGAGTGACTAAATTGCATTTAAAATTTCTTAATTTTTTTCTGTGACTTATGTTTTATTACTTTTCTTCAGTAAATCACTCCTGAGGTCACTAGTAGGATTTATAATCCTGTGAACTGAACTACATCCTAAGTCCTTCTCGCTAATAACAAACACTTTGGTCTTTTAATCCCTCATATGTACATTTTTCACATCATGCTTCTTGGCTTTACTTTTCCGATGAAATCCATCATAATGTTTGGCCATTTCTTGTCATTCTTATTTTCAAGGGCCCCCTTCTTCTGATTTTCTTCTACTTCCATCAAAACACAACTCCAACCTGGATCTATCTAATCACAGACATTTTCCACCTTCTGGGCTGCTGGGCTTCCCTGGAGAAAAATCACGTAACTCTGCCAGGCGGGACAGATTTATAGTTTCCAATTTTAGCTGGGCTCTCAAAATTGCTTGTCAGTCCTCTTACTCAATGACTTTTGGTTTGATAACCCCGATCTACATAACGGTGTGAGCACAACTCTCCCTTCTACAGTATCTTGTGCTTACTTCTGGGCATTTCAGAGGAGTCCTTTGTACAAACCCTCTTGTTAGTTCATGAACTGCAGTCCTCCCAGTTACTTCAGCTATTTACTCTTATTCCTACTCCAGCTACCACTTGCCCCTATGCACTTTGCATAGTTGCCTGTGGAAGCCTCACTACTGCCAACTGCATTCCTGAAATGCCAGCATCACTCCCAGGGATGCTGTCACCTGGAGCTCTGGGTACTTCACTTCCTTATAGTGTCATAATTATGTAGAGTTCACTAGGCAGGAAAAAAAAAAAAAAAAAAAAAAAAAAAACAAGGTTCCCTTTCAACTTATTATCATATGTGGTCTTCTGAACACCAAAGTAGCTGGGCTGATGGCCAGAGACTTGCAAAGTTTTCTTAAAGAATTCTGAGAATGTGTGGTTCTCATCCCATAGTCATAAGTGCTCAAATTTCTTCTCTGGTGCCACAAAGAAAATAGACACATCACCATCATTCCTATCATTTCTCTTTTCCCTTCAGCTCTTCCTTAAACCAGAATGGCTTCTCTACTACTCATTATAAAACAGAATATTGTGGACAAGCTGGCATGTGCTTGTACAGAAGTGAAAAAAGTTTACTATTGCACTTCTAAAATAGCAAACCAAATATTCTGTTACCCTCGTCTGTGGTCTCTCCTTTTCTATACTTCTTGACTTGATTTGTGAATAATGAACATTTTATCCTTCTTATTCTTTTTTGATATATATATATATATATATATATATATATATATATATATATAATCAGTAGGGGGGGAAACAGTTTCTCCATTCATTAGGAAAACATTCATTCATTTATTCATTCATTCAACAAATATATATATATATATATATATATATATATATATATATATATATGATCAGTAGGGGGGAAACAGTTTCTCCATTCATTAGGAAAACATCCATTCATTTATTCATTCATTCAACAAATAACTTCCTAGTGCCTAAACTAGTTGATATCAAAGTAGATATTTTTAATTGTTTTACTTTATGTCTCCAGACACATACAGTACAGGAGTACAACAGCTCAGTAAAAATAGTAAGTACAATACGATGTTAAAATGGCTGTGATAAAATTTGCTGTAATAATCCTTTGGATATACCCAGTAATGGGATTGCTGGGTCAAATGGGATTTCTATTTTTAGGTCCTTGAGGAATCGCCACACTGTCTTCCACAATGGTTGAATTAATTTACATTCCCACCAACGGTGTAAAAGTGTTCCTATTTCTCCACATCCTCTCCAGCATCTGTTGTTTCCCGATTTTTTAATGATCGCCATTCTAACTGGTGTGAGATGGTATCTCAATGTGGTTTTGATTTGCATTTCTCTGATGACCAGTGATGATGAGCATTTTTTCATATGTTTGTTGGCTCCCTGTATGTCTTCTTTTGTAAAGTATCTGTTCATATCCTTCGCCCATTTTTGAATGGGCTTGTTTGTTTTTTTCTTGTAGATCTGCTTTAGTTCTTTGTAAATTCTGGATATCAGCCCCTTGTCAGATGGGTAGACTGCAAAAATTTTTTCCCATTCTGTTGGTTGCCGATTCACTCTACTGACTGTTTCTTTTGCCGTGCAGAAGCTGTGGAGTTTGATTAGGTCCCATTTGTCTATTTTGGCTTTCTACTACAAGGACACGTGCACACGAATGTTCATTGCAGCACTGTTTACAATAGCAAAGACCTGGAACCAACCCAAATGCCCAACGATGATAGACGTGATAGGGAAAATGTGGTACATATACACCATGGAATATTATGCAGCCATCAAAAACGATGAGTTCACGTCCTTTGTAGGGACATGGATGAACCTGGAAACCATCATTCTCAGCAAACTGACACAAGAGCAGAAAATCAAACACCGTATATTCTTGCTCATAGGCGGGTGTTGAACAATGAGAACACATGGACACAGGGAGGGGAGCACTACACACTGGGGTCCATTGGGGGGAAATGGGGGAGGGGCGGGGGGGTGGGGAGGTGGGAAGAGATAGCATGGGGAGAAATGACAGATACAGGTGAGGGGACAGAAGGCAGCAAAGCACACTGCCATGTGTGTACCTATGCAACAATCTTGCATGTTCATCACATGTACCCCAAAACCTAAAATGCAATTAAAAAAAAAAAGGAAAAAAAAAGATTTGCTGTAATATAAAATGAGGTCACAAGAAGGAGAGTGAGTAATTCAATTAAAATGTAAACAAAAATTTCTTAGAGGAAATGATACATGAGTAGCTTGCATTTACATTTGAGAGTGGTGGCTAGCTCTTCATAAAATTATTGCAAGCAATGCAGTTGATAAAACAGACTTATGTTTACAAGTTGATTTGGGGAGTAGAGAGTGCACTGATGTTCACATGCAGCTGTTTCTTCCCAGGTCCTAAAGAACAAGCCTAAATCAAGTCATTGGCACAGAGGCATTAGACAGAAAGCTAGAAGTTGAAATGGTGGAGTCCAACTTGTCTGGACCAGCTTTATGGTTCTGCTACTGGTAACATTTTTATCCATGAATGGCTTGCTTGGGTCTGGAGATTTGGCTTGACTACACTGTGTGGAGCAAATTTTAAAGAGGTAAAGGATTAAAAAAAAAAACTCTTAAAATAAAAAAAACCCTAAAAACTAGAGTTTTTAATGACCACAGCAAGCAAGTATGCAGTTTACCTCTTGAAAGGGTCTTGCCTCACCCAGGCTGGAGTGCAACGGCCCTTTGAGGCTCACTACAGCCTCAGACTCCTGGGCTCAAGTAATCCTCAGCCTCCCAGTGGACTTTGTAGACAGTCTGATGGAGTCTCATGGCACAAGAAGATTAAAAAATATCTCCAATTTTAATAAATTTCTGCAATCCAAAAAAAGTGTATATATATATGTTTTACTTTTGAATAAAAGAAATAATCTACAACATACAATTCAACAATGGTTTTATGATATATTTATTGTTTAGGTATGTATGTGCATATGCCTGAGTGACCACATGTGTTTGTGTGTGTATGCATGCGCACACACACACGTGAAATATACTTTATTCAAGTTGGTAGCTAATTGTGTGGATAGAAATTCTGTATTCACAACAATCCAATTTTTTTGTGAAATACCATTATTTTCTCCTCCTGAGCCAAATACGATGTTTTAACCTAGTAAAAATGTCTTATTTTTAGTATTGTCAATAGTCCCATTGGTGAAGGAGTGCTGCTTTCTTAAAATAATTCTGGGCTGGGCACAGTGGCTCACACCTATAATCCCAGCACTTTGGGACACTGAGATGGGCAGTTCACGAGGTCAAGAGATCAAGACCCTGTCTCTGCTAAAAACACAAAAAATTAGCTGGGTGTGGTGGTGTGCGCCTGTAGCCCCAGCTACTCAGGGGGCTGAGGCAGGAGAACTGCTTTAACCCGGGAGGTGGAGGTTGCAGTGAGCCAAGATTGCACTACTGCACTCTGGCTTGGTGACAGAGCAAGACTCCATCTCAAAATAAAGAAATAATTAATAATAATAATAATAATAATAATAATTCTGCCTTCTGGGCAACAGAATTTTTCATCACTGCATAAGACAAAATCAGTTTTGTAGCTGCTACCTGTTTTATTGTATGTAGGCCTGTGTTAAGATACTTCATAAATTGTCAAATCCAAATTGACACTAGAAACACAATAATGCTTGCTATTTAATGAAAAGTTGTCAACTCGCCTCTCCCTGTCAAATTGCCAGATGCGTCTTCATGACTGGTTTAGGTTAAGGGATTACTGGTAGTCAGAGCTCAATACACAAGATCTTAATATTACATGATTTGTGAGAGAAGTGGAGTAGAAAAGATATGAGATGTTATACACTGCTGAAAATTGAATTTTTTATGCTTAATTATTAGGTTTGTTTTTAGAAACTTGAATCAATAATCCAAAAATTACATTGAGAATTAAGTATGAAAGGCATGTTAAAAAATTTATCTGAGTAACAATATCCATGAAAACAAATGAGTCTTTGAACCTTTAGCTATAGCTTGAAGGGAAGTTATTGTTCTGTTATTTGCTAGGATAATATTTTATCTTAGTATTTCTTGTTACTAATTTAATTTATGTTTCACTAAATAACCAGCTAGATATATGTGTGGGTGTCTGTAGTTAGACACAGAAAAGAATTGACGGAACACTTTGGCTCTATTTTCAGTGCTATAAAAAGATAAAAGGCAGGATGCAGTTGCTCACGCCTATAATCCTGGCACTCTGGGAGGCGGGCGGGTCACTTGAGGCCAGGAGTTTGAGACCAGTCTGGGCAACATGGCAAACCCTGTCTCTATTAAAAATACAAAAATTATCTAGGTGTTGTGGCACACCACTGTAATCTCAGCTACTCAGGTGGCTGAAGCAGGAAAATCACTTAAGAACACGGGAGATGAAGGTTGCAGTGAGCCCAGATTGCACCACTGAACTCCAGCCTAACCTAAGTGTCAGAGCAATACCCTGTCTGAAAAAAAAAAAAAAAAAAAAAAAAGAGAGAGAGATAAAAAATAACAATAAACCCTATTCTATGTGGTAATGTCTTACTTGGAAAATTATATAGTTACTCAGAAAATTGAGGCATTTACAGAAATGTTTGAAGCTCCCACGCTACTCCTAATCAAAACAAAGCACAAATGGAAGGCACAATATACATTACTCCCAATAAGGAAGCCCATGGTAGTAGATACTCCTTCCCCAAACTGGTTAAAAGCTGGGACACAACAAGGTGCTCCTACTCTGAACTTCTTATATTGAACAAGTAAAAACCAGAGTATGCAATTTATTCACCAAGACAAATTCAGTGAAAGTCTTGAGGGCATTTGATGGCTGTGGCACCTCTGTCCAGCAGCAGAGCAGTCACCAGCTATGTCCACTGCGGCACTATAACCTGATCGCATCCTAGTTTCCGATCTTATCATCTAGAATTCTCATCTGTTCTCTAGTAGTTCTGTTTCTCTCTCAACATTATGGACTAATCAACACAGATATTACCACAAATTTTCTTATATACTTAAGTTAGAGATTCATTCTGTCACTTTTAATTGGAGAATCCTGACTCAAAGACAAATTATAAAGCTATAGTCACAGGGGTATGCTAATTAAAAGTTGTTATATATTCCTAGTAAATTGAAGTTTTAATCATAATGTAATTTTTAAATAGAGAGTCAGTATGACTTTTTTCCCTAAAGTCTCTTTTGTCTTACATAAACAGAATCACGACTATTTCTACTGAGTAGAATATACATACTATGCCTATTGTTTTTCCTTTGGAGTTCAACATTTTGATGTCTTATATTTACATGTTTCTTGAAAACCATATATTGCTGGAGAATTTAGACTATTTAGATTGAAACTGATTACTAATAATTGTATTTTTTTATTTATAGCTTTAATTTTTGCTTTCAATTGGTTGGCCTTGTTTTACTTTTATTTTTGTATCTTTTCCTCTTTTAAATATTTGAGTAATTTTAAAATTTCAATTTTAGGTTTTCTTCTAAATAAATCACTGGCTTTAGAATTATTTAGTAAAGTTCTGCTTTTGATAGACTGAAAAATATCGTTTATATCCCCATCCTTAATATTTTTATAGCCCAGGGCAAGAGTACACCTTGAAGTTTTCTGCAGAGTCTTTCAAAGTGACTTGAGGCTATTGCTGCACAGAATTCTGGGATTCTAGCTTTATGGAGTATAACAGGAGGCAACAGGTCGTGGGGACTGATGGGCATACCTCAAAAGCTCTATGGATTTCCAGACTTGTCAGGGAGACACTAGAGAAGAGCTCAAGAAGAGACTCTGAAGTCAGGGGATTGGGGCAGGAGTAGCACTTCTCTAAGAGTGACCTAAAAGTAGCACTATGTTTCCATTACAAATATTTGTGCTGTAGGTAGATTCTCATATTGACAATTCTCTCAGCACACAGATTTATACTACATAGACTTCTTGCCTCCATTATCCTTGCTGAGAATCACCTCTCCTCTCAGACTGTCCATTTTATGTTCTTAATTTCTTCTTTTGCTCTAACAATTGTTAAGATCTTCTCTTTGCATTTAATTTCCTGACTAGTTTTTTATATTACTGGGCATATATATACGTATGTATATATATACACACACACGTGTGTGTGTGTCTATCTGCGTGTGTGTGTGTGTGTGTGTGTGGGTGTGTGGTGTGTCTTTCAATTGTGTTTCAGATTTATTTGATTGGTTGAATATGAGGATTGGTGGTGTTTGACAGTCCTGGAATCTTCCAGTTATCTTTTGAAATACGGTCTTTGCCCCACTTTCTCTCTAAAACCCCAAACACGTGTCAGACATACTCATTCTAACCTTTTATCTTTCCTGTTCCCTTGTGCTCTTCTGGCATATTTTTTTTTTCTGGAAGATCAATTGTATTGAAGCTCTTTTTAAATGTTCTTAATTTGTTTTTTTTTAACTATTTCATTGAGTTTTACATTTTTCTAGTTTTATTTTTTTTAATTTCTATTTTTTATCCAAATCTGCTAGGTGGCAATTTAATTTACTGAAGATACACTCAAGTTTATGCTTTCTTTTAATATACTAGTTACTAGTTTTAAATTTTCTACTTATATTTAGCATACAAAATCTTTAATATTAGCAATATAGAAAGTTTTTTCTTCACTATATCTTCATAATACATGCTATCATTTTTTATCCTAGAACATATGCATTATATCACAGAGAAAAGAGTTTCAATGAATAGAAAATACTAGTTTTATTTCTTTACTTAAGCATTTGCCCTGGTAAAGATACTATCTGGCCATTCATAGGAATGCTACTCAGTAATTTTAAAGATTGTTTGCTAGGCCTTTTTATAATTTTCTGTAAAGACGATGTCTTTAATCAGAGATAGATCTTTTAACTTTTCTTTCTACATGTTCATTCTTCAAAATTTGACCTTACAACTTGACTTCAATTATTATTTATGACTTCCCAAAATATATCCACCAGAGTTCTTTATCATCATAAGGCCCTGTATGTTATTATCATTGATAAATATTATTGTGGTGTTTTCATTGTTTTAAAAGCTTTTCAATTTTATTTATTTTTTAAGCTTTTGTTTTAAGTTCAGAGATACATGTGCAGGCTTGTTACATTGGCAAACTTGGGTCATAGGGATTTATTATATAGATTATTTCATTACCCGGGTATTAATTCTAGTATTCATTAGTTATTTTTTTCTGATCATCTTCCTCCTTTCCGCTTCGGGCTCCAAAAGATTTCAGTGTGTGTTGTTCCCCTCTAGGTATTCATGTGTTCTCATGATTTAGATCCCACTTATAAGAACATGCGGTATTTGGTTTTCTGTTCCTGCATTAGTTTGCTAAGGATAATGATCCCCATCTCCATCCATGTCCCTGTAAAGGACATAACCTCTTTCTATTTTATGACTGCACAGTATTCCATGGTGTGTGTGGTACCACATTTTCTTTATTCAGTGTGTCCTTGATGAGCATTTTGTGTCTTTGCTATTGTAATGAACATACACGTGCAAGTGTCTTTATAATAGAATGATTTATATTCCTTTGGATATATACCTGGTAATAGGATTGCTGGGTGAAACGGTATTTCTGCAAAATCTCAATTGATCTGAGTTCACAATATTTGTTCTCCTATATTCTAGTCTCAGAAGTAGTATGCTGCTAATTTGCCCATGGCTGAGTTGATAAATCACAAATCCATAACACCCATTTCTCTCACTGTTTATATCCAGAAGCAACAAATTCTATTGATACTACTAATAGTTTTGGCACCTATATTCTTCATGCTTCTTCTTGATACCTCAGTGTGGTTTGCAATAATTTTTCTTGCTTTGTTATATAAAATAGCATTGAATAGACT